AAATAAATAAATAAGTTCTTATTTTTAACATTGTCAGATTTATCAGTCTTTTCCTTTATCATTTGCTCTTTTCAAGTCCAAGGAATCTTTTCCTATCCTGCAGTATCCCCACTAAAAATAAAAAGATCTATACAAAGAAAGATAGGGCAATTTCTAAGATACATCATTTAATGGAAGCAAAGTGCAGAAGGAAATGTAATAATGTGCATCATTTGTGTACAAACCAGGGGAAGGAGATATACACGTATGTTTATATGTACATAAAATATTTCTAGAAAGTTACAGAAAACACTGATAACAGTGGTTGCCCCTGCAAATGGGATTCCAGGGAGGAGGAGAGTGGGAAAGAGACTTTACTATAAACCCTTTTGTCTTATTTCAGTATTTCCCTCTGCTGCATATATTAGCATTCAAAGACTAATTTAAAGGTTTAGAAAATAAAGTTGTGCTCTGTCTTGGATGTTTCCAAAAAAAGCTACAGTGTCTGTCCCCTCTCTCAGCCCTGCATTCATGTGTGATTTGTTTCCACAGCAGGCGAAGCTCGAGGCTCAGCTGCGGCAGAAAGAGTTCTATAGGCCCATCCCCAACCCCAACCCTAAGCTAGTGGATGGGTACCCTGCCCTCGAAAGAATCCACATGACTGCCAAGGACTTGGGAGTCCCTGGCTTCTTCCCGTCACAGGACCATGTGGCCACAGGGGAGGACGAGTGCAAGTTCACCAGCACCTGCCCTGTCACATACCCGGCTTCCCACCGCCTGTCCCTGGCCCACAGCGATTCCGGCCATGTCCACCAGAGCGCCGACTTTCCGTGCCTCCTGGAGCCCGAGTGCCAACCTGCTGCAGAGGAGGGCAAAGGCTATCTTCTACTGCCCGGCTGCCCCTGTCTTCGTCACCATACAGTCAAGGTCCCCATCTTGGACCGATGGGGACCCTTGATGCCATTTTACCAGTAGGAAGGATGAGAACACCTTCCAAGGGATGTTCCAAGGGCATGCGGAAGTCCTATGCCCTGTGCTCTGCCCTTGGAGTGCGGAGAGGGGAACTGAAAATAAAAGCAGAAAGAGGTTCCTACAGCACGGGGACTGCTCACTCTACCTTACTCCCCTGCCTGCACTGGGACACGGCATCCTCACTGCAGAGGGAGGGAGGAAAATCGGTGTGTATGGAGAACTGAAATTTGTGTCATGTTTTATTATGATTAAGGGTCCTGGTCAGGCATGGTGGCTCACACCTGTAATCCTAGCACGTTGGGAGGCAAAGGCAGGAGGATTGCTTGAGGCCAGGAGCTCGAGACCAGCCTGGGCAATATTGTGACACAACCCCCATCCCCATCTCTACAAAAAATAGAAAAATTAGCTGGGCATGGTGTCATGAGCCTGTAGTCCCAGCTACTTGGGAGGCTGAGGCAGGAGAATCGCTTGAGCCCAGGAGTTTGAGGCCACAATGAGCTATGATGATGCCACTGCACTCTACCCAGGGAAAGAGAGCGAGAC